AAAAAAAAAAAAAAATAGTTTGCTAGTTCCTCCACATGTTAAACATAGTTATTATAAGACACAGCAATTTCATACCCAAGAGAAATGAAAACATGAACACACAAAAACTTGTTCACAAATGTTCATAGCATTATTATATATAATTGCTAAAAAGTGGCAACCACTCAAATGTCCATCAGCTGCTGAATGGCTACAGAAAACATGACACACCTCGATGCTTTGGTTTGGATCTGAAGTGCCCCCAAAGCTCCATGTGTTAAAGGTTTGGTTCTTGTCTTGGTGCTGTTGGAACGTGGTAGATACCTTTAAAAGGTGCAAGCTAGAAGGTCACTGGGGCTATGCCCTCAAAGGGGACTGTGGAACACAGGTCTCTCCTTCTCTCTTTGCTCCCCAGCTGGTACAAGGTGAGTGGATTCCTCCATCACATGCTCCTGCCATGAGGTGCTGCCTCACCACAGCCCAAAGGCAGTGAGGTCAACCAACTGTGGCCTGAATCCTCCAGAAAGTTGAGCCAAAATAAACTTTTCCTCATTCTTAGTTGACTATCTCAGGTATTTTGTTACAGTAACACAAATGTAATGCACTGTATGGCAGAGTGTTATTCATCAATAAAATGGAATGAAGTACTGATACATCTTCCAACATGAACAAACCTAGAAAATTTGAGGCTGAGTGAAGAAGCCAGTCACAAAAGGTCATATATTGCATAACTCTGTTTATAGAAAACGTCCAGAAAAGGCAAAGCAGACATAGAAAGCAGATTAGGAGGAGGCCAGCTGTGGTGGCACATGCCTATATTCCCTCTACTCAAGAGGCTCAGGTGGGAGGGTCACAAGAGGCCTGGAGTTCAAGATCACCCTGGACAACACAGTGAGACCACATCTCAAAAAAGAAAGAAGAAAGGAGATTAGTAGGATTGTTAGGGGAGAGGAATGGGAAAAATGAAAGTAACTGCAAAAGGGTATAAGGGTTTCCTTTGGGGATGATTAAGGGTTTTCTAAAATTAGATAGTGGGGGTGATTGCACAACTCTGTGAATGTATTGAAATGATGAATTTTGCACTTCAAAAAGATTAATTTCATGGAGTGTGAATTGTAACTCTGTAATTTCTTTTTTTTCTTAGGTAGGGTCTCACTGTGTAGTCCAGGTTGGCTTTGAACTTGCTTATGTAGCCCAGGCTGGCCTTAAACTCACAGCAGTCCTTCTGCCTCGGCCTCCAGAGTGCTGGGGTTACAAGTATGTGGCACCACACTCAGCACACTAAAATTATTAAAAATACTTTCATGCAAGTGGTTTTACTTTTCTTCAAATTGGATCTTTAGGAGCCTAATATTCTTTTTCCTGAAAAAAAAATTTTGCGTCTTGATATCAACTTCCATTTTAGTAGAGATAATAATATAAATTATTCTCATATTATACTGTCTAGTAAATTTGAATTTGATGAGCCTGTCCACTATTCCCTAAATAGTATGCTATCCATGAGCTGTTCATTCACCAAGAACTTTATTTTTTTCCACCAGGAACTTTTGAAATAGCTCTATGCCAATAGTTCTATGTGCCACAGTTACAAGAGAAACATGAAAGTTACTTATTGGCTCTTTGGTCTCAATAAGTTTTAGGTGATTAAACAAATAGATGGCTGGAGCAGGGACTTGGAACTGTGTGCTCACATCTCTCATCAGCCAATCCACATTCTTTGCATCTCTACACAGTGAGAATCAAAACAAGCCAACATCCAGGTGTGGTGGCACATACCTGTAATGCCAGCACTTGGGAGGCTGAGGCAGGAGGATCACCTTGAGTTTGAGGCCAGCATCGGCCACATAAGCAAGTTCAAAGCCAGCCTGCACTATTTAGCAAGAATCTGCCAGAAAGAAAGAAAGAAAGAAAGAAAGAAAGAAAGAAAGAAGAAAGAAAGAATGAATGAATCGAGACAAGGCAATGGTGATCATCATGCTTCGTGGGCCTACAACTCCTGAGAATTACATGCAAAATGTGACAAGTCTGGATACTCTCTTAACAGATCCAAAAGTTTCATTAGTACCTCAAAGAGGGTGTTGTGGTTTGGGGTTTTGCAAGAGGAACAATGTAATACAGGACACATATTTTATAAGATTATTTATCATAGTCACCCAAAGAATCATATAAAAGAGAGTGCAGCAAATCTGTCCACACACTAAAACCAAAGAATCCAGCTGAGGGCCTGGATCCCACAATAATGTCTGCATGAGTTCAGCTGAAGACCTAGAGCTCATAATAATGCTCCCATGAGTCTAATTGGAGGCCTAGAGCCCATAACAACATCTCATGCAGGCCTGTTTCAAGGATCTGCGCTGACAAGGCCCAAAGGTCAGTGGTGAAATCTAGAAAGCCTGTGCCAGTGGGATGAAGGATCTGTGCCAGCAGGCTGAGGGATCTATACTGGAGCCAGGAAGTGATGCTCAGAGTGAGCTCCCCCAAAGTGAACCAAAGCTGTTCTCAGTGCCAAAAAGGCCCCGAGCTCCTTGGAGGATGAAAACAGCCAAGTTCATCAGGAAAGCCAGCATGACAAGCCCCTCCGAGATCCAACAGCTCCTTACAGCTTCTCCCCGCTTCCAACAGGCTTCCAACAGCTTCTGCCAGCTTTTGACAGCCTCCTTTCTGCTCCAGTTCTGCCTCTTATGCTGCTGGCAACAGTCCTCAGGTGGGCCTCCCACACCCAGCACCACTCTTACTCAGTTCAGCTGGGTATTACAAGTTGACCACCAGTTGTCAATCCACCACAGAGAGTCACTAGCCAACATTTCGGACACACACCCCAAGTCTGATACATTTAGATTCCATATCCGTGTCTGTGGTTCAATTTGCTTAAAATCTTTTCCCCTTTTGCCTGTCCTAGCATCTTTTTAGGAGCGTGGGGAGAAAGTCTTTCCCCTGAACTCTACAGGGCTGTTGGAGAATCTTCCCTTGTCATCATCTTGCTAAATTAGGAAAATGAAATTTAGGAGATGATTGCACCTTTCCGCATTCCGCCCCTTCTATGAAGGACGCTCAATTGCCCATCTGGAAGAGCGGAGCAGGGGTAGCTGGGGAGAGCCGGGGAGACAGTGAGATCCAGGCCAGCTTCTCTCCCTGCCCCTCCCCTCCCCTCCCTCTCCTCCCCCTCCCCCTCTCCCCCTCACCTTTCCTTCCCTCCTACCTCACTCCTTCCATCCCAGCAAAGGGATGAGGAATTTTAGCCAGGCAAAGGTAGGGGTGGAAAGGACTAGGGACCAGAGAGTGTGTTAAAGGCACAGGGATGAAAAACAGGGTGGTTCGGGAGATCTGGTTCCTGGGGCGGCTAAGAGGGGATGAGCTCAGCGGATAATAGGATCGGCCATGTGGAATCCCCCAGCAGGGCACGCACTGCACGGAGAGCTGAAGCACCCGGGTGGCCGAGGTCAAGAGAGCTTAAGGAGCCAGGCTGTGCAGCCAGGACTGGGACAATGAGCACCGTGGCGGGAAAGAATGAAGATTTAGCCCCGCCTTCTACTGAAGGTGGAAGGTGGAGGACTTGCCCCTGTCCTCTGGAGCGCCCACCTCTCCCCACCCCGTCACCCTGCCGCCGTTGGCCCGGGCCCTCGGAGGCGCTGGGCCAAGACCACCTCGGGATCGCGGATGTCTTGACCGGAAACTGAGGGTCACAGCAGATCAGTCCGGAAGGGCGGGGACTGGAGAAAGAGGATGACTTTCCCTACGCTCTGTGCACCCCCTCTCTGCCTCCCCCGTCAGGCCCCCACTTGGTAGCACCCTTCTGATCCCCTTATCTCTAAGTCCTCAGGGAAACACGCTCCTGCAGGAGCTTTCTCGGAAGTGCTGCCCTGACTGCCCAGAAGCCATGAGCCCGGCAACTCCGGTAAGGGAAAGGAAGAGTTCCCGGGGCGGAGGAAGGGCGCAGGGAGGGACCCTGCTGAAATAGGGGGTCAGACCAGGAACCTTTCAGGTCCTGGCTGCCCCTGCTCTTTGAATGATATCTGTGTCGGCTCTTATGGAAGTCGGGGCTTGGGGTTCAGCTATTCAAAGAAATTATCCTGGAGGGTAGACTCGGGTGACAGATACAGAAACACTCCCTTCTCCAGTGGATCCACGCCTCCAGTGCTCCCCCAACCCCGCACTGGGCACTGAACCCAAGGCCTTCATACTGCGCTACATCCCCAGCTTCTTTAAAAAAAATTTATATAAATAGATAGATAGATAGATAGATAGATACCTTTGTTTGTTTTGAGACAGGGTCTCACTAAGTAGTTAAGGCTGGACTTGAAATAACTAGGTAGCCCAGGCTAGCCTTAAACTCATGTCAATCCTCCTACCTCAGCCTCCCAAGTACTGGGATTTTAATTTTAAAAAAATATTTTTTATTCTAAGATAGTGTCTTGTTAAGTCACTAAGTTGTTTAGGCTGGCCTGAACTTGTCTTGAGTTATATTCTTGAAAATGCTATGGTTTTATCACCTGCCAGTCCCAGTGTGCTCCCCAACCCTGCATTCTATTTCTAAACACACCAGAGACCCTTCAACTTTCTGACCAGCACTCATATGGAGCCCTTAGGTATCCCAGGAGACTGCTACTTGTCCTGGGAGACCGTCCTCCTATGTACCTGGAACTGCAGTAACACCCCACTGCACCATGCTCTGTGGACCTGGCCCACTTTTATTTTCCATTTTGAGACAGGGTCTCACTAAGTCACTAAGCTTTTTGGTTTTTTTGTACAGGGGATTGAACTCAGGACCTTGTGCTTGCCAGGCAGGCACTGTGCCGCTGAGCTATATCCTGCCCCAGTCACTGAGTTTTGCCCAGGCTGGGCTCAAACTTGTGATCCTCCTGCCTCAGCCTGCCAGAGAGCTGGATCACAGGCGTGTACCACCACACTCTGCTTCTGTAAAACTTCTTAATGCCCTTGTCCCTGGGCACAGTTTGCGTGCAAGGCTATCCCCCTTTCGCACAGTCATTGTTCCTTTTTTCTTCTTACCTCTTTTTTGTTTTGTACTGTTTAGTTTTCTTGGATGCTAGGACCCTTGCCACAAATTCCTAAGAAAAATTATTTTATGATAGAGGCTGGGAGTGTAGCTCAGTGGTAGATTCCTTACCTCTCATGTGTGAGCCCCTGGGGTTGATCCCCAGCACCGCTTATCATAAGTAAGCGAACAAATGTCTTAATAGAAAAATAAACTGAGCGTGTAGTACAAACCTGTAGGGCCAGCTACTCAGGTGGAGGGCGCAGGAATATCGCTCGATGCTAACCTGGGCGACATGATGAGACCGCCGTCTGGAGGAGAGGTAGAAAAGAGAAAAGAAAGAAAAAATAATTGCAGGTGTGGCCTCTCAAGTACTCGGGGTCAGCACGGGGCTGTCACTCCAGAGAGCTTCTCCGGGCCAACTTTAGGGCTACAGACTACAATTTCCATTATGCCTCGGTCTTCGTAGCTCCTCCTTAAACCACGCCCCCTCCTGGGGTGGGGCGGGGCCCTGGGGCAGTTAGGAACCGGGCGGGCGCAGCCTGGGGAATGAAATGCCCCAGGCTCTCTGGTTGCACAAAGCGCAGGCGCAAAGGGGTTGGGTGGCAGCTGCATCGGGTAGCGGGCCGTTTTGGCAGCACCATCCGCAACAGGTGTAGACAGGTGGGTACATCACGAGGGTTGGGGGTGGAGAGGGAGTGTGGACCTGGCCCTCTTGTCTGATCTGTGCCAGAGCCTGGAAAGGAGGCGGGGAGCGGCAGGAGAAAGAGAGACAAGGCCAGGTCTTTCACCCAAGCGTGCCAGCTCTTGTTACACAGCAACGGGTGCGAGCAGGTGGGGGAGGGGAAGAGGCACCTGCTCAAAAATAAATCGCCCTCAGGAACAGGGCGGACATGGATTCCAGTCCAAGCTCCATCACAAACATGGGTACGTCATTTGCTGTCTCTCAGTTTGTCCACCTGTAAAATAGGTGCACAGATCCCCACTTAACAGGGTTGTGGTGGGGACAAAGTGAGTTCATAGTTTGTACAGTGGCTCTCAAACGTCACTGCACGCTGGAATCACCTAGGGACCATGAGGACCAGCAGAGCTTGCCTCCCACCCTCACACATGATGGTGAGCACACATTCTCCCAGCGCCTGGAGCAGAGTGGTGAGAAGCCAGGACTGCTGGGTGTGGATCCTGGCTCCGGAGCTTACTAACCCAGTGGGTCTGAGCAAGAGGCTGGACCTCTCCAGGCCCTAGTTTCCACTTCTCTAAAAGTGGAACGATAGCAAAGATTGTTAGGTGGCTTAACTAAGCTAATAAGTGCAAGCAGAGCAGTGTACCCAGCATGTAGTTTTCAGTCAGTCACAATTGCCGTTCAACTATTATTTTATGCACTTTGTAAACGGCTCCCCTGGGGTCCGAGTGTAAGGAGGCTTTTCTTAGTCATGGTGGTCCCTCGGTCATTGCCACGATGCTGATATTCTGTGCTGCCATTTCAAAATCCCGTTTTCTAACATTGTATGAGTTTTAAGAGTTCCTCACCCCAGCCTCTGCCTGCTTCGTAGACACTCTTCTTTCTACCTGCTTCACGGCACTTCCAGTTTCACAGAATCTGAGGCCAGGCGGGAGGCGCAAGGTGAAGGGACTTGGCTACGGTTCTAGAGCTGAGACTGGAATCCAGGCTTCTGATCCCAGCCCCCACCGCACCCCAGAGGGTGGCAGCCCTGCTGACCCCGCCGGACAGAGCTCCCATTCTCTGTCCGGAGCTGAGGATGGGGAGGAGACGGAGGCCGCCCGGCCCTGTTGTTTACTAACACTGCCTTAAGCATTTCCTGGGTGCCCCCCCAGGGAGGGTGGGCTGGGGGCTTCTCTCTGGGGAGGTGCTCTGGAGCTGCCAATGAGACCTGTGTGTCCTGCCTCCTCTGACAGGTGCCGCCTGATTCCACCCTGGAAAGTCCTTTTGAAGAAATGGCCCTGGTGAGGGGCGGCTGGCTGTGGAGACAGAGTGAGTGACCTTGGGCCGTGCCTTTGTCCTGTACCCTGTCCTGGGGCAGGGGTGTGGGAAGTGGTGTGTTAGGCCAGCAACAGTGAATCCTCTCCCAAGAAATCAGAACCCTCTAGCTTCTCCTTCCATGTCTGTGCTTTTCTCCCTGCCTGATGTCCTTCCCCTTCCTGAGTGCTTGGCAAGCCTCTGCTTAACTCTTCAAGACCCTGTCCAAGATCTCCTCTTGGATGAGTCTTCTCCAGCTTTTCCTCTAACCCCATCCTGCCCCTGTGGCACCAGGCTGGGTCACAGGTTCCCTCTTCAGTTCCCACAATGACCTGTAATATAACTGCCATTGCCTGTGGGTCTCCTCACTCCCCTGCTCTATATTGGCCCTATGCTGTGAGCTCTAGGACAGGGTCTGGATTCGACTCTGTGTGTGTCCACAGCACCCCAACCCAGGACTAGATGCAGAACAAAGCCCTGGAACAAAAGGAAAAATCCTTCTGCTTAGGAATCCATACAGCTCTAAAAAGCCTTCTTATGCCCTTCCCTTTTCTCGTTGGTATTCCATTTGCAAAATTCCTGAAGCTATAGCAGTCTGAGGCTTCCAGAGTCATCATCTGAACAAGAGCTATCCTGGGACCTCTGGGACCCCCAGCTCCCATGCCCCCTGCTTCCTGTCCATTAAGTTCAGCAAACACTGAACACGAGTCCTGCGGGGTTTCAGGACCGATGTGGGGAGTTAAAATCCCAAGCTGATAGAAGTGGCAGAATGACAGAAACGACTGTCACACAAGCCAGGTGTGAGATGAGATGGAGGCTCAGAGCAGAGAGAAGTCTTTGCCCTTGAAGGGACCTTGGGCTAGGCCTGAGGAACTCCCAAGCAATAAGTTTGATCCTTCATTCACTGTTTAACACATGTATTGAGCCTCTATTACATGTCAGGCTAGTGGGAAGCAGGGAGTAAGACAGAAAAAAGCCCCTGCCCTCATTTCAGGAGGTAGATGGACAAGAAGTTAAAACGGAGGGCCAGGGTTAAGGGGCTCTGGGAGCCCAGGAATGGATTGTGCAATGGACTGTCCTGCAGGCTCCATCCTCCGCCGCTGGAAGCGGAACTGGTTTGCCCTGTGGCTGGATGGAACTCTGGGCTACTACCGCGATGAGACGGCCCAGGATGAGGAAGACCGCGTGCTCATCCACTTCAATGTCCGTGACATAAAGGTCGGCCAAGAGTGTCACGGTGAGCAGCAGCCCTTCTGTGGCACTGGGACTGCAGGCAGGGCTCTCCCACTGTGTCTGAGAATAGCTGCAAATGGAAGGCTCTTGAAGCTTTCCAGGAGCTTTGCAGCCGCTGCTTCTGGGCCTTTGTGAACTCCAGTTTAGTTAGGTCTGAAGTAAGAAACCTGTCCTTTGTTGAATTTCTCTCCTGTACTGTGTTGCAGAGGTTGAAGTCAGATGAACTGGCATTAGGAACTGGATGAACGTGAAATAAAGAGGCCAAAAGAAGTGACTGGCTCAGGGTCACATAGCACACCTCCAAATGCTTCAACCAAGGCTCAGCCCACAATCATAACAGGGTAACTGAGAGATGTACCTAAGAAGCCAGTAACGTAAACAAGAGGGGAGAAAGAGTAGCCGGGCGTGGTGGCGCACACCTGTAATCCCAGCACTTGGGAGGCTGAGGCAGGAGGATCGTTGCGAGTTCAAGACCAGCCTGGGCTACAAAGTGAGCTCAAGGCCAGCCTGAACTGCATAGCAAGACCCTGTCTCAAAAAGACCAAAAAAAAAAAAAAGGGGAGAAAGAGTAGAGCAGAACCCCAAGAAAGAGTGTGGAAGCAGAGAAGGTTAGCAATGACCAGTAAACAGGACTCAGAGAAGTCAGTTCCTGCTCTTGTTCCTGATTACCGGCAGGACCTGGCACCTTTGAAAGCTCATATATGTGTGTCTGCTTCCAGATGTGCAGCCCCCAGAGGGCCGGAGCCGTGACGGGCTACTGACTGTGACCCTAAAGGAGGGCTCCAAACTGCACCTGTGCGCGGAGACCCGGGATGATGCCATGTGAGTGGCTCCAGGAAATGTTGGATAGGCTCTGGGGGAACACAACCAGATGCGCCCTCCTCACTGGGTCTTCTAGGTCCCTGGTGGTAGGAAAAGGGCTTAAAGACTGGTCAGCAAGGTTGTGTCCTGCGGGCTGGGTGGAGGAGACCTGAATGCCTCCTGGGATTGGTGTGGTGCACGCTGAGCTCCTCAGGTTGTCTGTGCTGAGCTCAGAGTGTGGAGGCAGAAGGGTGCATGGGGCCTGCAAGTGTGTGGAGTCAGAAGAGGTTAGTGACGACCGGTGAGCACAACTGGTCAGATTCAGGTATTCCGCAGCCTCACCTGGGAGCTGTGGCGGTACAACCAATTGCGTCCTTAAAGGACCCTCCCTCCTGCTCCCTCTGAGCAGATGCCCTGGGAAGGGGACCCCAACCTCCCTATAGAGGCAGCTCCCTGTGCCCCATATCAGGGCAAATCCAAACTTGGAGTCGGGCAGGTGCCATCTGCTCCCTCACATTCCTTCTCTTCCTACTTTCTGACTGAGGTCCTTGGCCTTCATGCTGGAGGACAGTGAAAGAGATGGGTGTGTGGGAGCGGGGGAAGCTGAGCTCCAGGCAGACCGCACAGAGCCGCCTTGTCCACCCCAGCCAGCTGCCATGGCAACCAACAAAGGCCGATTGTCTGTTGTCCACGGGGCATTCCTGGGGCTCTGGGGTCAGAGCTTTGGGGAACTGTGCTTGTAGGATTGGGATGGGGAGGTGGGCTGCAGCTGGAGAAGCTGCCCAGGCATGTTAGGGTGTAGGCCCTTAAGTGACCCCCAAGTCCAACAGTCCACTGTGTGGATGGGGAAACTGGAGCTTCTAAAGAGGAAAAGACTACAGAGTGAATTGCCTAACCCAGGGTGCATCCGTGTGACAGGGGCAGGGAAGGGCTTGATTCTGTCTGCCTGAGAGAAGCAGAAGGATCTTCCCCTTCACAAGAGACTGGGACTAAAGCCTGGCTTGGGGACGAAACCTAGAATGTGAGAGCCGCTTTTCCCTCCCTCGAACTCCCTCCCCATGGTGTGCTGGGTTTGCTTTGCAGAGCATGGAAGACGGCACTGCTGGAGGCAAATGCCACCCCGGTGAGTCCCACTCTCCCCCTCCTCCCAGCTCCATGTGCCATGGAATCATGGATGACTCAGACTCGGTCTCCACCTGCCAGGAGCTCTCGAGCTAGTAGGCATAGGCTTGTACAGACTCAGACACCCTGAGTCCATGTGGAAAAAGGGGAGAGGACAGCTCGCTTACACTGCAAGGAGGGATGGAGAGAAGCTTCCCTGAAGACTAGAAGGAGGTGGCATGGGAGCTAGGGAAAAGGAACTTTTATCGAGCAACTATTATGTGCCGGATATGGTAAAGGTATAATCCTAGAACACCTAGACTGTGAGATTGTTCCCTCTCTGCAGATAATAAGGCTGAGGTTCATCCATCCACACAACAAATACTTATCAAGTTCCTACTGTGTGCCAGCCTCTGTACCAAGGCCCAGGGATTAGAAGTAAACCAAGGGGATATGGGCTCTGGCCCCTCTCGACTCAGCCCAGAGGAGCTAGATGTGAAACAACTAATCAGTGATTCCACCTCAGCAGTGCTAACAGTTCTAATGGAGGCGTGCAGTGTGTGACTCCTTTGGTGGCCTGATCAGGTGAAAGTTCAGATGAGGCTTAAGCTGAGACCTGAAGCATGAACAGAAATTGGGTAAAGGGTATAGGGAAGTGGAGAAGGGAATATCTTTGCAAGCAAAGGGATCAGCACATGCAAAGGCCCTGAGAAGGCTTAAGGTGTTGGCAGATGGAGGAGCAGAAGGAATATGGTATGGCTGGGGCGGCTGGAGCTCAGGGAGTGAGAGTCAGTGAGGAAGAAACGTTGCCAGGGTCAGGCCTTGCGGGTGCTTGTGTTAAAGATACTGGTTTCTTCTGAGAGCACCAGGAAGGCTTTGAAAGTTTAAGCAAAGGGATACCACGATCAGATCAGATCAGGTTTGCATTTTTATTTGTTTTTTTTTCTTCCAGTACCAGGAATTGAACTCACTACCTTGTGCTTGCCAGGCAGGTGCTGTGCCGCTGAGCTAAATCCCCAGCCCCTAGGTTTGCATTTTTAAAAAGACAGGCTGGTAGGTAGGAAATGGATTGTAAAGGGGAGGAGAGTGGACGCCCTGGGACCAGTTAGGAGGCTAGGACAGTGTCTCTGGCACAGGCTGGAGGTCTGGGCTCAGGTGTTGCTCGTAGAAATGGGCTGAGGGCTGATGGAGCTATGGGTTTGAAGAGCTACCAAGGGGGCCTAGCATGGCCTGCACCCCAGCCTGCCAGATTCCAGAATCTATGACTGCCCCTCTGTCTGGGGCACAGTGGCGCCTCCTCTCGTCTAGAGAGAAAGCCCACTGGGACGCAGCAGAGGAGACTGGGACGCACTTAGAAACCCCCTGGGGCCTCCACCTGCTGAGGGCCAGGCATTGTGCTGAGCTCCTACGTCATTTCACCCTCTGGCAACCCTGTCGGGGGAGGCCTGGGGGTTGGTATTATTAAGCCTATTTTACTGATAAGAAGCTGAGGCTCAGAGAAGGGACTTGTCCAAAGTCGCCTAGTGCTAAGCCAGTGGAGAAGCCTGAATTAGAGGCGAGGTCGGTGGGGTTCTGGGAGGAAGCCACTTTCTGCAAAAGGGGCTGTGCAAGCAGAGGCAGGGAAGGAAGGGGTGTGTGCGTGTGTGGTCACATGCATGCGTCCAAGGCCCCACGTGTGGCCTGGCCAGAAGGTTTAGCATGGAGGAAATAACACAGGAGAAATGACCTGTAAGGTCATCAGAGTCCAGCTGGAGGAACTGGACTTTTCCTGAAGGTTGTGAGAGCCAGCGGGAGGGCTGACTCGGGCTTCCAGGTGGAGGATAGTGAGGCTGGAACATCAGGGGGACGAGACCCGAGTTGGGCTGAGCTTTAAACTCCAGAGCACCTTTGAGTAGGGCTGATGGGGTCCGTGAAGGAAGGTGGAAGGAAGGAAGGTGAGAGCTGACCGTTCTGTGTCTGTGACTCTATGAAGCTGTCTTGTCCCTTTTCTGTTGTCCACCCTCATGGTGCTCTCTGCCCTGCCTGCCTGTGCTCCCCACACACGCGCATCTCTCCAGGGCTCGGGGCTTACTGGAGCAGGCACGCTCGTCCCTCTGTCTTTGTACCCATGTCTGCCTGTGTCTGTGTTCACGCCTGTTTGTAAGCTTCTGCCTGTGCCTCTGCAGGAGCGACCTGTGCTTTGTCCCTCTACGAGCTATAGCTTCAGGCTCCACACTGGGTAGAAGCCCCAGGCAGAGTCCTTGACTCTGGCTGTAGCAGGGAACGTGGAGCCCAGGGACACGGGGCGCGGCTGGGGTGTTGGTGATGGAAGGGGCCAGGAGGGTGGGAGGGCACATCGGGCCTGCCCTGTTCTCCCTGCAGACTGGGAGACCAGCTGCGCCAAACAGGCCAGAGTGGGTTGGGAACAGGCTGCTGGCCACGCTCACTGCATAGCTCTGGCCGTCCACCCCTCCCTGAGCTGCCCCTCCTCCCCGTGCACTGAAGAAGAAGAGGACGCCCTTCCCCCTCCCCAGCCCAGCAGCCAGAAGACCCTGGTAGGGCCTGGTAAGAGCTCAGAGTCTCTCCAGGTGTAAGGGGCCTCTGACGCCTCCCTCCCTCCCCTCTTGGGTTTCCACGGCTGGAGCAGGCCCCAGCTGGAGCCACCGTCCCACCCAGGAGCCGCCGGGTTTGCCCCAAGGTCAGGTGTGTGACCAGCTCATGGAGCCCCTGTAAAGTTGAGAGGCGGATCTGGGTAAGTGCTGGCTCGTCCCTCCCTGCCTCCATTCTGGCCACCAGGATGAGCGTCCAGAACATCCCAGTCACATCCTTTCTCTGTGCGCAAACATCCTAGGCTCTCTCTGCCACTCCCGGGACGCCAAACACAGCGTGGCTGTCGAGGCTTGTGGCATCTGGCTGGTCCCTCCTGCCACGTCCCTGGTGTGTGTGCTCAGGCCGCTGCTGTTCCCTCTGCCCAGCGCTCCACTACCCCTCTTCCCAGCCGCTGCTCTAGCTGTTCTCTGCTGCCTCCTTCACCCTGAGCTCCTCCTTAAAGGCCCACCCCAAAGGCCACCACCTCCAGAGTGAGGACTTCCCGGACCTTCAGGCACTGTCACTCCCTCCCACAGCGGATGTCACTGTTGCTTAGCGCTGTCTTTATTTGACCTGGTTTATTCCTATCTGTTTGGCCTCCCGAGACCTGGAACTTCCCCCAAGGCAAAGACCAGGTCTTAACTAGCTCTGCCACTGTGCAGCCTGGCGTGGGGGTGGATACAGAGTAGGTGTAAAATCAGCAGCGCTCGGTGATGGGGACAGTCTATTCTGTCCTCCTCCCAGCACACAGGCAGCTGGCACAAATAGGTCTCAGAGAAATTTCACTGAAGGAGGAGGGAAGGAGGGAAAGACCGGAAGGAGGGAGGCAGGGAGGGAGGGAGAACCTCGGTGTGGCGTTACTATCACTAACTGTAATTTAGTCTAGTTCTTTCTCTCCCCAACCTGAATTGTTCTCAAAAGCAGGCCTTGGGCCTGATCCTTTCTCTCTCCCCAGTGCTGAGCACAGCGCCGGGCACGGGCTCTCAAGTAGGTCGGAGTCACCTTGAACTGTGTCTTGCTCAGCGGTGCCCTCTGTGCTCGAGTTGCTTAGGGACTAAAACAACTGTTCACATTCTGCCTCTTGATGCTCAGACTTCATAGATCTGGGGTGGGGCCTAGGATAGCCGTAGCTTTAAAAATTGTTCCTGGAGATTCTAACATGCAGAGCCACTGAACCTAGAAGCACTTGGCCCACCTCGGTACAGAGATGTGATTCTGCTGGATTCTCACATTACCTTGGGCGGCAGTAGTGTGGGAAAAACAACTTTGCAGGTGACGAGGCTGAAGCTCTCAGAGGTTGCCCGACTTGATAAGTGTCGCTCAGTTCCTCGGAGATAGGCCCAGGACTTCCAGTCATCATTCTGAAGTTTTCCCCATGCCTCAGCCTAGAATACAAGTGTGTTTAAGGTGTTGATGTCAGAATGCAGGACTTAAGAGACTGTACACCTAAGTACACCGTGGTTTGCCTAAAGCGGGTTATTTACATACGACCCCCTGACTGGCCATACTGTCCCAACGCACAGAAGGGGCAAAGACATTGAAGAGGGAGAGGGTCAGCGATCAGATCCTCAGTTCTGTCCGTGAGGTCTCTGGGGTGACTCTGCTAGTTGCCAGGTGCTCTGCAGGAGTTTACTTCTGGGCCTCCCAGACTTGGAGGGTAGAAACAGGTGTCTCAGGGGGGATGAGGTGGTGTTTTCCACCCTCTCCAGGGCCTCATAAGGCCACTGGCTCCTTGCAGCTATGGCGCAGGTAGAGGCTTTGGACTTAAATTCCAAAACATCGCTGGATCGGAGTCCTTCCATTCTTCCAGCCCTTCTGTGTTTAGAGCCCAGAATCTGACCACACCGACCAGCCTTCTGGGGAGGCAGCATGGCAAGTAGAGTTCCTTGAGGCTGAGGACCAACACCATTACTTGTCTCAGTTTCCTGCACTGCCCAGGGACTGTTTTTCTCCCTAACTTGACTCTCATTCAACTCAAAGTTGGGCAACTTTAGTTCCATTTTAGCCCTGTAGTTGAGTCACTATAGCCAAATTCAGTAAACATGTGTTAGACCCCTGGCATATTCCAGTCGGGTCTGGTGGGACTTGGAGGGGTCTCCCCGTCTGCTGGGAGAAACACTCACAGGGAAACAAACAGCACACCATGGTTGATCAGTGGGGTGAGGGAGGGCGGTCCAAGGACTGTGGGTGCCCAGATGGATGATGGGTGCCACAGAGCCTGAGGCTTACGGAGAGCAATACCTGAGTTGATTCTGAAAGACAAAGTAGGTGACTGAATAAGGGAAGGTAAGAAGGAGTCTGTGTGAAAGGGAAGTGGCTTGGAGACAAGTCATGAGGTGTGCTTGGAGAACTCCCCTCGACAGCCGGATTTCTCAGGAGAAACCTCAACCATCCTTCGGCCTTCTGTGATCTGGCTCTTTCCCTTCCACACATTTCTTTTAAAGTGTTTTTTCAATGTCCAAATATCTAAATTACTAAAACCAGTGGCTTAGTCTGTTGGCACTGGCCAGAAGGATGGACGCAAGGGCGTATCTGGAAGATAAACTCATGTGACCTGATGGCTAATGTGACGTGAAAGGCAGGTGTGGGAAAACGAAGGCGCCAGCCTGATTTCTTGGTTCGAATGCATAGCGGTGGCATTGACAGAGAAAACACTGACAGGGAGAGGACACGCTGGGGAGATGCAGAGATGGTGTAATCACTTTGAGTTAGTGGAGTTTGAGACAACCTAGACTTCTAAAGGGAGTTGAACCACTCAGATGTGAAGCCCGGTGAGAGACCGATACAGGATGAAAGGAGGCTAAGAGGAAGGATCCACAAAAGAAGGGGATTTTGCCACTTCTCTAGATCTGCTCCCCCATGGGTAAAATGAGGGGCTTAAATGAGTGTTTCTGTTTAATATATTTCTCAGTTTCTGCCATGCGTTAGGCCCTGCTGATAACACAAATTAATGGGTTATTCCCCAAAGGTAGTTCACATGAGGGTGTAGGCAGGCAGGGACAAGAGAAAAGGTAGTAAGTCACAAACATAGTCCATAAAGAATTCAGGAAGCCCCAGTGTGATGGTGTACGCCTGTACTCCCAGCACTCAGGAGGCTGAAGCAGGAAGATCTCTGCAAGCTCAAGGCTAGCATGGACTAAAGAGTGAGTTCAAGGCCAGCCTGAACTACATAGGGAGACCCGGTCTCAAAAAGAAAAAATCAGGAAAGAAGAATTTTTTCTGAGACCAGGTTGGCTTCTTAGAGTGAGTGATTTTGACCTAAGATTTGAACCACTGGCAGAAATCTAGCTGGGGAGCAAGGTAAGCAGGAGTAAATTCCAGAGAAAGCACGGACCATTTTCTGAGCCTCAGTCCCAGCTCTGGTACTTTGGAGAGAATAATGCCTGGAAGTTACACATGTGGATTCCTCCCTCCAGACGGGGTGCACAGTAGATGCTCGATAATAGTTACTGGGGTATTTCCCTTCCCCGGTCCTTCTGTTTCCCTTTCTGTCCTCCTCACCCCTTTCCTTGCTGGGACTTGGCCTTATTCCCCTCCCTTGGTCTAGGAGAATAATCAGTTGGGTTTCTCCAAGTTGGGGCATTGTACAGTTGCTCACAAATACTTCACTACCTGTGAGGGGAAAGTGGGAGCCATGGAAAATGTTTTGAGGTGGGCCAGGGCAGCAGGACGGGCATGACTTGGGAGCTGGATGAAAGAGCAGGAGTTTTAAAAGCAAGGACCTTGGACCTTGTGAGAGGCAGGTCCTTTCTCCGGAGCCTACTGGCTCCTGGGGACCCATTTCTCAGCTCTAAGAGGAGGCTCTCTGGGTTGAGGGGGCTAGGAAGAGGGTGGGGGACCAAGCCCAGGCCAGGGAGTTCCTGGGCAGCTGACCGGGTTGGATTCCCCAGGTGCGTGTCTACAGCCCATACCAGGACTACTACGAGGTGGTGCCCCCCAATGCACACGAGGCCACCTACGTCCGCAGCTACTATGGGCCGCCCTATGCAGGTAAGCCCCAGCCTGCGCAGCGCCAGGCCTGCCTAGATCCGGCACCAGGCCCTGCCCACGGCCCATCAGTCAGGACCAGGCCTCACCCTTTGGTGATCTCAGATTTTCCACCTTAGCCCTTCCCCATTCTGTGATTCGAAATAGCCCTCCCTACTCCAGATCCGATGCACCTCTCCAGGCTCGCCCCGACCCACTCGCCGGGCTGCCTCTTGATGCCGTTCCTGAGCCGATAGCGACCCCTGGTGGTTAATGCGGGGATGGCTGCCTCCTTCCCGCTCCAAAGTCTGGGCTGTGAAGCCCATCCTCAGGTGCAGCGCTGGGGTGCCTAGAGATCCTGGAGTTGCCCTGCCACTCGGCCCTAGCCCCACAGTCCCAGCACATTTGTGGCACATACAAGACCTGGAAGCCGCGGAAACGGGCTCAGCGCCTTAACCCTGGGTTGGGCTGGAGTCACGCGGAGAGGGAACGAGGATGAGTCAGATGAGTCGGTTCCCTCCTCTGAGGTCCCGGCCCTCCTGGGCCCTCTGGCTTTCCGCAGGTCCCGGCGTGACGCACGTGATCGTGCGGGAGGACCCCTGCTACAGCTCGGGCGCCCCGCTGGCCATGGGCATGCTGGCCGGGGCCGCCACGGGCGCCGCGCTGGGCTCTCTCATGTGGTCACCCTGCTGGTTCTGAACCTTGGGACTCCGAGAGCTCGGGACCCCGCGCTTACCGCTAGCCCCCTTTACCTCCTGGATTCCACCACCCACGCCCGCTCCCATTTGACCCTCTCCTCGCCCTGAGCGCCTTCTGGGCTTGAGCCATCTCCCCTTTTCTTTCCTCCTCCCCTCTCCCAACTCCAGAAGAAGCTGTCATCTGAGGCAGGAACATGGCTAGAAATCCCCACATCCGGACACCCCAGAAATCCCCTACAGACGCATATGCATACATTTCCTGCAAACGCACCAGGAGACAGCAAACAACTTCATCTGGATTTAAATCTCCCAGGCTCTGGTGTGACAACATTAATAGGGCTCCCTGCCTCTCCTGGGAGAGCGCCAGGCGTGGTGAGGGAAACGGGAGTAAACAGACACTTGACCAAGCTGCAGAGTCATCTGTCCTTTGACAAGGCTGAATAGGGGAAGTGCGTGAGGCAGGTAGGCTGGGAGCGCTGCTGTTGGCACATCCAAAGAATTAAAGCCGGGCGTGGTGGCGCACGCGTGTAATCCCAGCACTTGGGAGGCTGAGACAGGAGGATTGTTGCGAGTTGGAGACCAGCCTGAGCTACAAAGTGAGCTCCAGGCCAGCCTGAACTGCACAGCGAGACCCTGTCTCAAAAAGACGACAAAAAAAAAAAAATTAAAGGGGAGGTCATTTGGGGTCGGATGGGGACAAATCATGGTGAGCTGCAGGCTAAGGAGCCTGCCCAGTGAAGGGGAGGTGTGAGTTTTTCAAATAAGTTTCATGACTGCACCTATGATGAGTATTTTGCCCATTTTGTTACTACTGACACAGACCCTTAGCAGAAACAGTTTCGTTCCATCCTTCCCACTAGTAGTTTCCTAGGCCCCTGGTCCTCAGGACAACAATTGAACTTAACCTGGGGGCTTCTGGGCAGGGGACAGGTGGGCTCTAGCCTTAGCAAGTTGCCTCCATCAGGAAATGCCTTTCCAGTCCCTGGAGCTGTCTGTTGCTGTGACTTTCACCGTCTCCTGCTTTGTCTCTTCTTTACTTCTGGGGAGATGGCAGTGTTTCCCTGGGGACCTGACCCAATTCTGTACCAGCCAATTCTGTACCAGCCTGTACCGGGAAGCACCCTCTGCCATGTGCCTGCCTGCAGTCTCTTCATTTGGTCCCCTTCCAGCCTCTGCCCCAGCCCCGTCCCAGTCACCAGTAGAAATGCTAACACACTTGCCCAGGACCTGGTGTCGTCCACTAAAATTCTCCAGTTGACGGGGGCTCTATTGGCTCAGCTGCAGAAATTAATAAAGATGTGGTTGGCTCTAGAATTGGCTCTGGCTTGTTCTGTTCCCCCAGGACACCCTGCTTTCCTGAGACACCTCTGTGACCCAGCATCTACTAGAGCCTTCTCTAATAGGAGATATGGACTCTGAGGTCAGGCTGGGCTGAGCAGCTTGGGGCAGCTCACTTTTCTGGATCTTCCTTTCCCTGCTCATGAGGTGGCAGGTTGAAGTTGGGCATCCTGAGGGTCACAGGGAGAGGCTGTCAGGGTCTCTGCTGTCTAAGCTGATGGGTGATGCAGGGCAGACCCATTTGCTCTCTGAGAGGCCTGTGGCACTGGGATCTTTCTCAGTGAGTTTCTATCTGAGAGTTGAATCAGTGAACTGTTTTTACAGAGAGACCAGGGGAAGGAAACAGCCTGCCTCGGCCCTTTTCAGGTTATAAGTGACAGAAATCCCCTGCTGAAACTGATTTAAGTCAAAGAAGAGAAAACACTGGGATGCACACCTGCTTCCAACTGAACTGGGGAAGCTTCAGGGTCATGAAGTGAGACTGTTTAAGCCTTGAAGGATAAGGAGGGCTTTGGCCATCTGCGAACAGATGAGGGCTTTATATGTAGAGAGATCGGATGGAAGAATCAGCACAAGCAATGGCCTTATACCCTGCGAGTGCCATGAAGTTCCAACATCAGTCTCACTTCACGGCAGCTACATGGTGAGGACGGGTGGTAGGTGGGCAGGGCATAGGTGGGACGGGTTACAGGAAACCCCCTAGGCCAGGCTCATGAGCATATGGCAGCCTGGGAAGCAGCAATGGCATAGGCAAAAGCATGGGCATAAGTGCCCCTTAAGAAGCTCAAAGTCCACGAGTATCTGCTGTCGAAGGTCACACCCTGCACGTGCCCACAGGCCTGAACTGTGCTCAGAAGACACAGCAGTAGACCAGACGCAGTTTGTGCTTTGCAACCTCAGCATGCTTCTGAGGGAGGTCTCTCAGACTGGCTCTGGGAATGTGTCCACTCTCTAGGCCACAGTCTCAGGACTTTTTCAGGGTTTATTTCACATGCAGGAAGAGCCCAAGCCATCCAGATTCCTTCCAGTGAATGAAGACCAAACAAGTGCCAGGAAGCTGCCAGACAAGGTGTTTGAGTTTGCTGTGCTGAGCTGGCAGCATTCCTACGCACTGCTCAGAGCCTGCCCTGCTTTATCCATCGCCTAAGTTTCCACAACAACCATGCAGCTAGGTGTTACCACCCCATCTTACCTACAAAGAAAAAGACGTAAAGAGAAAGTGAATTGTTAAAAGGCATGCATTTAAAAACAGAGGAAACAAAAACCAAACACTAAAATGTCACACCTAAATCCAGACATGTTAATAATTAAGTGTAAACCAGGTGTGGTGGCGTATGCCTGTAATCCCAGCACTTGGGAGGCTGAAGCAGGAGGATTGTTGCAAGTTCTAGGCCAGTTTGGGTTACAAAGGGAGCTCCAGGCCAGCCTGAAATGCATAGCAAAACCCTGTCTCAAAAAAGAAAAAAAAAAAAAATTAAGTGTATATAGAACGAAACCACAAAAAAAAGATTAAAAATAAAAAAGAAAGCACAGATTAAGACCAATTGCCAGGATGAATAAACAAGCGAGACCCAACAATACAGTATTTATAAAAGGTACACTGCATTTTAAAATACAAAGATAATGAATTGAAAGTAGAAGGTTGGATGCCACATGCCTGTGTTCCCAGCTACTTGGGAGTCTGAGCGGGAAGATTGTTTGAGTTTGCAGTCAGCATAGACAACACAGGGAGACCCATCTCCAAAAAATTAAAAAAGAAAAAAAAAAAAAAAAGAAGAAGGTAGAAGGATGGAAAAAGATATACCATGTCAGCAGTAAGTATAAGCAACCTAGAGCCAGGTGTGGTAGTGCTTGCCTGTAGTCTGAGGCGGGAGGGTCATTGCAAGTTCAGGGCCAGCCTAGTCTACATAGTGAGTTCAAGTTCAGCCTGAACCACAAAGCAGGATCCTATCTCAAAAAAAAAAAAAAAAGCTAGAGTAGCTATTTTAGTATTAAACAATATAGACTTCAAGCCAAAACTTATTACTAGAAATAAACAGGGACATTTAAAAAAAAATAAATGGTCAGCCGGACATGGTAGTGTACACCTGTAATCCCAGCACTTGGGAGATTGAGGCAGGAGGATAGCCTAGAGTTTGAGGCCAGCCTGCATGACATAATGAGACCCTGTCTCAAAAAAAGAAAAAAAAGATAAATAGTCAGTACAACCAGAAGACTAAAGCAGCGTTAAGAGAGAAGGATTGTTTGTTTGCCATGCTGAGGCTGGAACTCAGAGGTGTTTTACCACAGAGCTGCATCTTCAGCCCTTTTCTCAAATTTTATTTTGAGAGACAAAGTGTCACTAAGTTGCCCAGGCATTGTCTTGAACTTGCAATCTTTCTGCCTCAGCCTGCTGAGAACCTGGGATTACAGGTGTGTGCCACATCTCTGGCTAAGAAAGAAATGGTATAGTTATAAATGCATACATTAAAAAGAAAGAAGATACACAAGGTATGTTTGTATCCACTTATAATCCCAGCTACTCAGGATGCTGAAGTAAGGAAAAGGGTTGCAAGTTCAAGCCCAGCCTGGGTAACTTGGAGACTTAGTGAGACCCAGTCTTAAAAAAAAATAAAAAAATAATAATAAAAAAGAGGCTGGAGATGTAATTTAGCAATCCCCAGCACCACAAAAGAAAGAAAGAGAAAAAGAAAGAAAGAGAGAGAGAAAGAAAGATAGATAGAAAGAAAGAACCTCAAATGAACAATATAAACCAGGTGTGGTGGCGCACACCTGTAATCCTAGCACTTGGGAGGAGTTACAGGTCAGCCTAGGCTACAAAGTGAGTTCGTTGCCAGCCTGAACTGCATAGTGAAACCCCGCCTCAAAAAGACTAAAAAAAAAAAGTAATTCTACACCTGAAGGAATTAGAAAAATAGCAAACTAAATCCAATGCTCATAGAAGGTTGGAAATAATAAAGATTAGGAAACAGATAAATAAAAATAGAGGGAAAAAGTTCAATGAAACCCAAAATTGGTTCCTTGTAAAGATTAACAAAATTGACAAATCTTGGCTAAGGAATTAAAAAAGACCAAAACAAAACACTCTTAGAGGTATCACATGAAGTTAGCAAAGTTGCAGGATGAAAACCCAACTCAAAAATTTATATATTATTATGATTTAGATCTAAAATGTCCTCCCAGCCAGGTGTGGTGGCATATGCCTATAATCCTAGCACTTGGGAGGCTGAGGCAGGAGGACTACCACGAGTTCAAGGCCAGCCTTGGCTATATAGTGAGTTCAAGGCCAGCCTGAACTACATAACGAGACTCTCTCAAAAACTGAACTAAATAAAATAAAATGTCCTCTGGAAGTCTTATGTATTCAGAGGTGGGGTTTTTGGAAGGTAATTGGATCATAGTGTCTTAGTCACTTTCTTGTCACTGGGACAAAATACTTAACACCCACAATTTAAAGGAGGAGAGGTTTATTTTGTTTTTTTATTTTTATTTTTATTTTTATTGGTTTTTCTCCGGTACCGGGAACCGAACTCATGACCTTGCGCTTGCCAGGCAGGCGCTTTGCTGCTGAGCTAAATCTCCAGCCCCGAGAGGTTTATTTTGGCTCACGGTTTTTAGAGGATGTCCATAGTCAGCTGGCTGCAAAGAATGAGTCGTGGTGAAATGGTCTGGCAGAAGAAAGCTGCTCCCATCATGGCAATGAGGAAGCAGAGTGAGAAAGGAGAAGTGGAGGAGGGGGATACAGCCTTCTAGGTCACATCCCCATTGGTTGGCCTCTAACCAGGCCAATCTCCTAATGGCAAGTCAGCTTCATGCCCCCACAATCCGATCATCCTCCAAATATATGAGGCTTAGGGGGACACCCCAGATCTAAATCATAACACACGGGGGTATCAGTGTTATGTTTATCCACGGATGAATTTTTTGTGGCTGAATGTGAAATTAGGCAGAAGGTCTTCGGTGAAGAAGATAGCCGCTTGGGGCCATGGCTTTGAAGGGTCTTGCTCTAGCTCTTGCCTCACTCTCTGCTTCCATGTCATTTCTACCATGGAACAAGCTCACCTGGACTGAAACTTGTGCAACTGTGAGTCAAAATCAACCTCTCCAAGTTGTGTCAGATATTTTGTCCCAGGAGTGAAAGTTGACTAATACAGAACACTGGTCCTGAGAGTGAGGTTGTTGCTGTAACTACACCTGACCATGCAGTTTGAAACCCTTGGGACCTGGTTTGTATGAGGAG